TTTTATGAATCTGTAATTATTCTCTTTGAAGAGCTCCTTTTTAGAATATTTACCATGAATTTTTTTCATCCCATAAATCCAAACAGCGAGCAATACCTAATATCTCTTTGCGTTTAGAGATTCCTTTTAGGGTTGCAAATTATGATGGCTTGGCACTAGCTTATCTGAATGTTTCCCAGAGAATATAAAAAAGGCATATGATGAATTATCAAGCTATGAAGCACATAGCTTCAAGGAGAAATAAGACAACTAATAACAAAAAATAAGAATTAAGAAAACTGTAACAAAGCAGCCATTTAAGAAATTAGTATAAATAAAAGAATTTTTTATCACCCTAAATAATCAGCCTGAATTCAATGTGTAGGCTGGGCAATCTATTTCTTTGTGTATTTCTTTTTCAATACACTTTGGCAGACTCCTCCTGTTGAATGACAATGTGATTTCTACCTCCTTTAGACTTCAAACAAGCTAAGTAAGAAAAGCAATGAACTTTCATCCACAAAAGGACCCTTTTTTTCTTCTTGGTCATGGGACTTGATCTCTGGACCTGGGCATTGTCCCTCAGCTCTTCAGTTTAAGGCTAGTGCTCTACCACTTGAGCCACAGTACCACTTCTGGCCTTTTCTGCTTATATGGTGCTGAGGAATCAAACCCAGGATCTCATATATGCAAGGCAAGCACTCTACCACTGAGCCACCTTCCTAACCTCACAAAAGGACTCTTTTATATGCTTTTCAAAACTTAAAGCTGGTATCTTGATGAACCAAACAAACCAATGATGACCCCAGTTAGGGGATATGAACCACTGCCTTCAATGCTATTAAACAATGAACTCTTTCCACCTTTTTAGATGCAGGATGCCTCCATATCTCTCCATAGATGCTATTAGCATCATTTACAGCCTGGGTCTCAACCAGCCTGAGTAAGGGTCATAAAAGGGTATCTTTCTCCGTGGGCTAGAATCAAGAGGATAAAGTGAACTTTCTTTTGCGGATATTCCAAATTCTTCTTCCAATGCACAAGTTTCCACTCAATCTGCACAGAAATTTACGAAAGCAAGTTAATTTTGTTTATTAAATTATTTTTACATAGTTAACAAAGCAGTTTATGAATTCAATGCATCTTATTCTGTGTCACCCCTTTCAACACTCTCACCCCCTTTTACCCACCTCTTACTTCCTTTTTGAAATTTTGTAGTATATACAATGAATTCTTCCCTGCATCTCCTTCATTTGTCTATCCCTCTCCCTTTGGCCCCACCCCTTCTTGCAAATACACGGTTTCCTGGTGCTTATTTTGTTGGGCCTTGACTTTGTCTTTCCAAGGAGTTACATTATTTGAGTTCTCCTTAGAGTCCACCATATTTCAGTTAATACATTTGTAGCCACTTGCATATAACTAAACGTGTTTACTTACAGATTTATAGGCAAATTCTAGCTACCACAAATGAGGAAAACGATGCAACTTTTGTTTCTCTGGGTTGTATTTACTCCACTTAATATAATTTTGAAAGCAATTTTAGTAATAGTTTGTTCATGACTTATCCAGGGAGCCTTTTGTTTGGGAAATGTTAAAAGTAGCATTTGCCCAATGCTTGGTAAGAAATGTACGCATTATCCTGCCCATGCAATTGTAACCCCTCTGTACAGTATGTTCACAAATAAAATAAAATAAAATTAAAAAAGTAGCATTTGCCAATAACCTTGGAATTTCAGTTCCAGGAGACATTGCCAATACTGTGTTTTAAAAAAGAAATACTAGCCATACCTCTTTGAAACAGAATTTTCCTTAGATAAGAAAAATCTTGTTTTACAGTTATTATTTAGTGGTGCTCTCTGGGCCCACCCAGATCCCCTGAAGGCCTATTAAGAGAACACGGAGATCCAGCAGCTTCCCACTCTTCCAGTTCCTTCCCTGTAACCCAGTGATGGCCTGAGGGAAAAAAAAGAACTGAACAGATCTGTTTCTCTGTATCAGTCTCAAAGTCTCATCATGAAAAGACCCTGTATCATAGAAAGAAATGTCAGCATTCATATTTAACAAAAAAACCTACATAATGAGAGGTACTAGGAAGATAATTTGTAAAAATGAGTGTTACATAACTATTCATTTTTATAGTAATAGCTTCCTTCTATTGGAGGCATTATGAACTTTAAGTACCATTCATGGTGCTTTCATTTATCTCTATTTCTATCCTGTGAAGCTGGCACTGTTATCACCTCCCCACTTAAGGATAAAGCATCTGATGAAGTATTCTGTCCAATGTCAGCATGTGCTGGAGCTGTAGGTAGAATATGAGTTGACTAGTGAAAGTTTGATATTAGTATACTAAGGTTTCCCAAGTTACTTTATGCACATCTTATTTATCAATTAAAATTTGACCTTCTATTTAAAACGAACCTTCTCTAATACTGCAAATTTTATCTCATGTGCTGTACAAAAGGATAGTCACAGCTTTATGTGTGTGTCTCCTTAGGAATAAAACATGACCAGGAGACTGAAGAACTGCAATTTAAGTTGTATTTAAATGTCTACATGTGGCTAGTGGGGCCAATATTGGATCTAGAGGGCATGGAAATGGTTTTATTTCTTCTAATGTCTCAGTATGTGACTTATCAGTTCACCCTAGAAGAGCCATGAAGAGTGAAGATAGTCACATTTGATTCTCAATGTTTTGAAAGGCTGCCATTTTATTAAAACACACACTTAGCTACTATTTTTCTACAAAAGATTACTGCTTAATTTTCTTCTTAGCAAAATGGGAAGTGCATAGAAAGAAGCCAAAGGGTGCTGTTGATGTTGAAAGGATGAGAAACAGCAAAGAATCACAGGACGGCGGACATTTCCTGCATTTAAGATATATAGAATTTAAGATATATAGAGTAACACAAAGGCCAAATTCTTCTCCCAAGTGAATCTATTCTGTAGTTATACATTTTATATACATTCTTATAATTAAGTAATTATGAATTGGGACAAAATAAATGTGGACTGGGGCTTTAGATCTGCCAGCTGTTTCCAGGAAGCAGTCTGCCATGAGCTGTTTTTCCTGCCCAGGGTACTGCTCCTGGAACTGCTGCACAGCCAACCTCCAATTTGCTTAAAGGGATTCAGTTCCCAAACAAAAACAAAAATAAAATGGAATCAGTATTTTATCCTAATTTGGCCTTCATATGGAACAAGGTACTTTGTGTGGTTTGCGTGACTTTTTTTCTTGATTTTTTTTGGTCAGTCGTGGGGCTTGAACCCCGGGCCTGGGCACTGTCCCTCAGCTCTTCAGCTCAAGGTGAGGGCTCTACCACTTGAGCCACAGCGCCACCTCCAGTTTTCTGGTGGTTTATTGGAGATAAGAGTTTCACAGACTTTCTTGCCTGGGCTGGCTTTGAACCGCGATCCTCAGATCTCAGCCTCCTGAGTAGCTAGGATTACAGGAATGAGCCACCAGCTGGCCTGACTTTTTTAAAGCTTGCTCAGATTTCAGTCATAGAAGTGCACTCACCAAGTGTTGTGAGAACAGAGCTATCTCGGGAGATGCTTTTCCTTTGAACACAATGAAATTGGGTCTTTAGGTATTAATTTCCTTTTGACAAATGCTAAATTATTTACACGCACACAGACACATACTCTCACAGACACACCTCTCCCCAAATGCCTGCAAGGAGAAAAAAAATCTCTTCATCACAATAAAAAAATATCTCTTCATAGTCAAGCCAGAAAGTTGTAAAACCTAATGCTGAAAACCGTACATGTTTAAGTGAAGCACTGGGAGATTGAGTCCACATTTCCAAGACCACGTAAACATCACCACCACTTGCAACTGAAATCCCAAAGTCATTACTGTTAAATGCTTTGCTCCACCCTCCTGAAAGGCTGGGGCAACTAGACATGCTTCAGTTACCAGGGCAGGCAGCAATCTACTAGGTCAGTGTGGATGGCCTCTGGCACACCAGTGTTATCAGACAGGCCGCAGGTTCTTCCTTGAGCTTTTTTTCTTCCGTGTGTCGGGGTGAAGGGGTGAAAGGCAGGGCCAGATCCTGTTAGTCATCTTGCAGGGCAGTCACGGGACTCTAGAGGGAACAGCATCCAATGCGGACGGGATGTTCAGAGGCAAGTCCCTGATGCTGATGCAAACCCTTCCACCAGGTTCTCTCGGTGGATCTCTGCCAAGAGCTAGTTGGAAGGCCCAACTGCTACATTGCTATTGCTGTAAAGGTTGCAATCTGGCAGCATCCACGACGATGCTGTGCCCAGGACGGGAGAGGGGAGGAGATGGTGGGTCTCTGGGCTAAATGCAACTCTGGAAAAGACAGGAGGATTGACTGATTGTGGCCCACGGTCTCTGAGCTGGAAGGAAAAAGTCAAGAGGACTTTTAAGGCTCCAGCAGACACTCGGCCCTCAACAGTGCTCTGAAGCCTGACATCCCTCCAAGCTTAGGGCCAGAAGCTGGCTAGCTGCAAGGGATGGAGCCTCGGGCGAGGTAAGCAGACCCCATTCAGGTTCCGCTGTCGGCCCGCGGGCCAGCACCGCATCCGCGCTCGGCCGGCGTCACCGTGGGCCTAGGCCTGCGGAGGCCGCGCGCGCAGCTCTCGCGGGCGGAGCCGCTGGGTCCCGGCTGGAGCAGCGGACGCTGTCGCCACGGGGAGGGGTGGCCTGGGTCGTCCTTCCTCCCGGGCGGAGGTCGCAGAGGAAGGGAAGATGTCGCAGCCGCAGGGCGAGCCACCAAGCCCAGTGGCCAGGCTGCCCGGCGCTCGCCACCGCGGAGGGGCGCACAGCGTACCGAGGGACGGGCGGAGCTAGGAGTGGGCGTCGGCCCCGCGTCGCGCCGCTCGCACCTCCCCGTCCCCGGAGCGAGCCCGGAGCTAGTCGCGGCCGAGGCTGTGAGCGCGGGCGCGGCCGCAGGGACGGTGAGGCGCCGCGCGCGCGCGTGGGAAAGGCCCGGCGGCTCCCGGCGGCCGCGGCTCCCACCGGCGCAGAGCTGCGGCTCCGCGGGCACGCGCCCGGTGTGCCTTCCGCCTCCTCCTCCTCCTCTTTCTCTGGCTCGCGTCAGCGCGCGGTCCTCCCGACCCCTCCTTCCGCCCACCCCGGAGGATGCGCTCCCGTGCGCCCCGCGGCACAGGCCCCCGCTCTCGGGGATGCGCGCGCGCGACCCCCTCCTCCGGGACCCGCAGAGCTGGCGCCCCCGCCCTGTAGGTAGGTGGGTGAGGCGGGGCCGGGCCCGGGCGGCCCCGGGCAGCGGATGCTGCGGCTGGGGGTAAGGGCCAGGACGCGCCAAACTTGCCTCCAGCCAGGGCTGGGTGGGGTGCCCTGAGGTGTGCAAATGGCGCTTCGTGCAGCCCCTTGGTTAACCTGAATCCCTCTTCTGGAGCTCTTGAGGTGGGGACGGGGGCGCGCGAGAGCTGGACCCTGGGGATCCGTGGGGCGCGGGCGAGGGCGGGGGGGGGGGGGGGGGGGGGGGGGGGGGGGGGGGGAGGAGAGTAGGTGGGGGTGGGAGAGAGGAGAAGACCGTTGGATTTGTCAGTAGCACAGGTAGAAAAATGTCATTGCATTAAACAACCACAACAACAACCAAAGTGGATTGGCAGATGTCTTCTTCCTGTCTTTTTAGCCAAAACACGTAGGCGAGCCAGGGGTTGTGTGAGAGGGCTTTGGGGAAGTGGTGGTGGGTTTATTGGTCAATTTCACAGCTGGTTGGGTGGTAAAATGGACCCTCACCGTCCACCCTCTGGGGCGGTTTGGGGAAGGTCCTCAGCAAAAGCCAGCTGTTTGATTTTTTTTTTTTCCTTCTTCTTCTTCTTCTGGAGGTGGATGAGGTCAGGGTATTCCTGCGCTGCGGATTTAGGATAAGCCTCCTGCTTACCGTGAAGGGATGGGTTTAATGAGTGACAAGTTTGATACAGGTGTCAGAGTTGAGATTCGGCTGCCAGGAAGCAGCGGCTCTGCCGGCAGAGGCAGCCTTGTGCTCAGCCCAACTTCCAACTCCCGGTCAGGGCTTGTATCTGAGAAATAGCTTTGGAATCGCAGTCATACAAGACTCTAATTGAAGAATTCAGTGTTATGCACGCAAATACATAGAAATGGGTGGTGACTGTTTTCCTTCTCTTGATGGCAAAATTCCTGTTCTTTCTCTCCTCCCTTTCTCCCTCCCTCCTTTCTCTCTTGGCTTCCCTCCACCCTACTCTGTACCCCACCCCTCTTTTTTTTCAATGGTGCTTGCACCAGGGCTTGAATTCCGGGCCTGAGAGGTGTACCTTAGCTTTTCCTCTCAAGGCTAGCACTCTGTCACTTGAGCCAGAGTTTCATTTCCAGCTTTTTGATGGTTAATTGGAGATGAGCATGTAATCGATTTTCCTGCCACGGCTGGCTTCAAACCTTGATTCTCAGAGCTCAGTCTTCTGTCTGAGTAGCTAGGCTTACAGGCATGAGCCATTGGCCTCCGCTCTTAGATGTAAAATTCATATATTAGAGCGTGCAGCAAAATAATGTCTTCCTAGGCTATCGTTTTGTTATTATATTTTTAATTTATATGGAGTCCCGTTTTTAGACTTTAGGAAAATGGGTCATTGGAAGCTCCAATTTTATATCCAAATATTTAGGTGTAGAAATTTGACAAGCTGAATCAAATATAAATTCTCACCAAGAGGAGGGAATCTAAGTTTTTTGTTTGTTTGCTTTTTCTCTCTCCTCTATCTGGTAATCCCCTATCTGGTCTTTAATAGATGCTTCTTACGTATGTTGTTGAATGAAAGAACTGTGTTTTGAGCTTCATCAAAAAATTTGGAATCAGTATATTTTTGTTCTGGGACAAGCAAAATGTATCTGGATTTAAGGAATCACTTCTTTATGTATATAGGCTTACAAGGTTATTTGAAATCGGACATTTTTAGGACCACATGCTATCCCGTGATGCATTATTAGAGGAAGCATTTCCTCGCTCTTAGGTTCATGTCCCCAAATTTCCTGACTCAGTAATAAAGCTTGTTTCAGTTAAAACCCTCAAACCCAATTTAAACAGTACATGGGGACATGTTAGTTATGTAAAGAATGTATGTCTGGAATTGGTCATACAAGATTATTACCTCCAAATTTACCTAAGACAATAGTCTGTGTTGTTTTCCATTATGTTCTTAGCATCTCCAATATGGAAAGATATTTGTACAATGAACAAATTAATAAATGAGCCTAGGCTAAGAAAAAACAAAAATATATAATTTACATTTTAAAGAAAACTCATAAGTTATTCAGAGGGAACCATAATTTAGTTAATAAGTAGGATATTAAATTGTTTCAGAATGCGTTGTGGTTTGATCTAATTGTAATGCGCTTTATTGAAGGGAAACGGAAAATAAAACATTTAGAAGTCTCTGGGATTCCTAAAGAGGTAGACGTACATAATATACGTACATTTTTTATTTGAGGATTGGACCCATGGTGCATGACAAATTCTTTACCACTGAGCCACATCTGTAATCCTAGATGTAAAATTTTAGCTGTTTTCATCAGTATTATAAGTGTTATCAGTTAACAGGTTTGACAGCCAGGCTGATTGTGAAATAAGTGTTTGGAAGATCCATTGCCTCTCTGCTTTAAAATGTTACTTTGAAAAACAGCAAAAAAAAATAGCAAGGATAACTATCACATTTTATTTGTTTTGTCCTTGCACTGTGCTATTTCCTGTGTTGATTTTGTTTGTGTTTTCCTAGCTCATAAATTTTATGGGTTACCATTAAATTCTTTTCAGTCTCTGCCTAACACAATTATCCAGAGTGGTCTCATTTTATTTTCTCTTTGTCATTTTAGTACATCTTAGCATCTTCACTACATATTTACCCCCAAACTTATTTTCACACAGTATGGTAAATCAGAGTTTACTAATATTGCTTCTCTAACCTTGTTAGATTCTTCCAAATAAGAGAGGAAATAATACTTTTATGTTAAAGCTAGTAAGACTAGGGGGTCCTCAGGAAGGTACTTAGTAGCGAAAATCTAATTTGCTATGCTTTGTTAAAACAAAGCCAGTTCTGCCATATGACAAAAAAATGACATTTTGCAAATCTTTATTTGTAATATAGGGTAGTGAGCAGATAATTGATTTAATTTTAAAAAGAACAGTCTCCTGTGGTTATAATGCATTTTTTACTTTGTTACTTATAAAAACTGTTTGTTTAACCAATATAACTTGAGTACTTAACAATGTGTTGTAACTTTAGGCTTTGGAATCACAGTCAAACAAGACTCTTTCCTAAGTACCCAATGGAAGAGGCAGTATCTTTTTTCTTTTCTTGAGAGTCCAGCACACAAATGCTCTGTGCTTCCTAGATCTTTGTAACTTAACCATCAGCCCCACCTCCCAAAGCACCATGTCTAACCCCTGAATTTCTCTATGCCATTTCTGCTTTTTCCTTAAGTGTTTATTTTAGAAACCGGTCTCCTATCTTTGCTAAATCTCATTTTTGTCCTTTTAAAATTTCAGCAAAAAGTTTTCTCTGAACAAGATCCTTTCAGTTTACATATCCTGCAATAAAAATTGCTATGGGTTGTGGAAAAACTACACAGAAGTATACTTATAGTTGAAGAATAGTTGTGGTATACTGGTTCCCCCTGATCAGGTGAAAAAATCCTTTATGCCTGCATATGCTAGAGAATGTGTATTGTCTGTAACTTTGATCAGGAGTAACTTTGATCCTCTAATAGAGGATAACTAAACCACAGCCATGCCTTATGCTGCTACTCTGAGCACAGCAGAGCTTCTTACTCAGCTTCTCTGCTCAAAGCTGTGATCTACCACTTGAACCACACCTCTTTCTTCTGGCTTTTTCCCCCAGTCAATTGGAGATAAACCTTACACACTTCCCTGCCCTTGATCTTCAGATCTCAGCCATCTGAGTAGCTGGGATTACAGGAACACCCACCTGGTTATCTTCACTTTGCACCCATTGTTTTTTACATTGGAGGATTCTGTTAATATAGCAAAAGAAGCCGTACTGTTACATCTTTTCACATGCAATTCAGACCATGTTCCTTTGTACATATAACTCTGGTTTGAGTCCATGCCAGAAAATCTGTTTCATTCCAGATGCCAAGGAGTGAAACACATACTTCTTAAGAACAATTTATAAATGTCTATTTTCTCCCATCATGCAATCTGGCAGCCAGATAACGGATTACATTTCTTTTTTACATGGATTTTTTTTTTGTCACTTAAGAAAGCAGCTTATGAATACATGTGTCTTGACCAACGTTACCCCTTTCAGCATTCTTTCTTTCCCCTCCCACCCATTTCCCTTTCTATTTTGGAAAGTAGGAAATGAAGAGTCAAACTTGCAACTCAGTTATAATAACCGTGTTAAAAACAAAGACAACTCCATAACCTAATATCAGTGTTCTTACTTTTTCTTTGTTTTTTAGTTTCTATTTAACCTTACTTTTCTCAGTTCTGGTATTTATCTAATCTTCTTCATTTTACTGAATTATACTATTTGAAGATGACTCATCCTTTGTAGAACAAGAGAATAGAAAACATAAAATCAAATAAATGGAAACATTACAGAATTGATCTATGATTTTACTGAACAATCTCTCATTAGTTATGTTAAGCAAGTTTCGAACAAGTACATTAGAAACTTGTATGTGTATAGCTGAACAGACATTTTGAAATAGCTGAACAGGATTTTGAAAACTAAATTCCATTGTTTTGTTTTCATATTTTTTAGTTATCATTGATTACCTGTACAAGGGTTGATTTTTTTTTAAAACTGATAATTTTCTGCTCACTTGCTAGCTGGAAGTTGATAAAGATATTCAACTTAAGTCACTTTTTTCTGTAGTACCTAGCTAAACAGGAGATTCTGTATAATTCTTAAATAGTTGCTTTTAGTAAAAGGGTTAATCTAAACTAGTTTTCTGCTCACCACACTCAATTGCCCTGTTGACCTTCATATCAATAAGTCCTATGATTCATCTTTGTTTTTATTTCTTTGGTGGTATTGAGGTTTAAATTCAGGGCTTCAGACTTCCTAGGCAAGCACTCTATCTCTTGAACTATTCCTCTAGCCACCCCCCCTTTTATTGTAAAAATACTGTAGAGAAGGGGTTATAGTTACATGAGTAGGTAATGAGTACATTTTTGCTTTGTTGTTTTTTCAGACAATGTCTCATGCTTTTTGCCTGGGCTGGCCTAGGTAAGAGAGGTG